CTATGAAATTGTAATTACCTAATAAATGTGTATGATTTCCATGGGGGTTCAAGTCTGTGAGAAAGGACCTTGCATGTTGGGGCTTGAATAAAATGCAAAGGACAACTCTGTATTAGTTGTGTTTGATTTCTTACATTCTGCAAGAGTGTAAACATGAAAGTGGTCAGTTTAATGTAGTAAACTCGACGTGATAGTGTAAAGTTAATGCTATAGTTTTCTTACTTACTTTCCCATTTAAAGTATTAATATTATATTTGTTGATTTTTGTCTAACATACCCTTCAAGGTTTGCTGACAGTCATTAATGCTAGATGCATATACATATACCCCTTTCCTATAGACTCTGTCATCTTATGTTTTATCAGTTCCGTATTTCCGAGGCAATTAGGTGGTTGTGAAATTTTAAACATACTTACGAACACTATTTATTTGCTTTATTATTTAAAACAAACATTGTTACTTACACTCTCTGAATGATTGTTTCTGAAAATGAACAAAAGTTTGTTTCCCTAGTATGATAACTTTTCTCTTATATTTTTTGAAAGTAGTAAGTAAAAATATTTTTCACAAAGCGGATATGCCCGCCCAATTAGTATATAAGAGCAATGTTATTATCTTCTTCTATTACTCGCGTTTTTGTGAGAAAATAACAATAAGGAAAACTACTACTCAGGCGAATTGCTTCTACATTTCATAATAGTTTTGCTTACCGTCGCTAGATGGCAGCACATAATGTTTTTTTTTTGTGTGGTAACTACGACAGTTTGGGACATTTCATATCACAAAAATGATATCTGACAAACCAATTTCGCTAAAAGTAAGTACATAAATAAAGAATTAATTAAATTAATATTTAATGTACCAAGCACCCAAAGTATCTTTGCAAGTGAACGATCTGTATACATATTATTGATGTCTAAGTTTAATTACACCAGTTTCTTAAGCATCAAAATCAACAACATATATAGTGGTCTTCCTTCTTTCAAATCTTCAGTGGGGCCGAGCCTGGAGCTGTATGTGTATGCGTGGTATCATATAT